ATGACCTAGAATCAAATTCTGAGAAAGCTCCCTGCAGCTGGCTTCATGCATCATAAAGCACTGGTGACAAGTCTTGAATCTCTCATGATCCAAGATTGTAACGATCATCTTGAGTCACTCGATAAATCTTGACTAGGCAATCGTGAGTAGTCTGAAAACGATTCTTGGTCACACACGCATGGTGGCTGTAGGCGAGAAGACAACCTTGAATCGAGAATGCATACGCTACAGACCCATCAATCCTGGATATGAAACGCGTTGTCAATTGACCCAGAAGTTGGGCGCAATTCAGCCGAGCAGCATCAGCGTGCACATCTTTACGCTGCTGCTCTGGTGTTGATTGGAGCGGACCCCCAGAAACTCGCGAATCCAGCTTGGCCACCGCCACTGTATGGGGTTTACAGCAGCAGACCCACTATACACGGCACGACATGGGCAAAGTCGGAGCTTGTCGAATGGCACAATTTGCAGCACATGCTTCGCTATAGAGCTGCGCGGCGAACTCGCAGCTATATAGCACATCGTGACTCATCAAGCCTTTCATGACTGAAAAGTCACTTGCAGACGATTGGCAGCATCAGGCACGCGGCCGGGTGGGAGCGACATGACGAGCGGTGCACTCTTGACTTGACTGCCTGCTGGCGAAGCCCATGCGCGCAGAGACATAAGTGGCCGAATTGAATGGCCGTTGCGGAAGGATTCGCGGCACCCTACAGGCTTAGCTCAAGCCGGTATGATGGTGTGAGTCAAGTTGCCCGCGGCGAAGAAGCAAGCGTCGGTCGTGAATGAAGACTATACATGTGTGTGGCAGCAGCTCGAGAGTCAGCAACGGTGGCGAGCTCCATCTGTCACAGGTCACTCATAGACTGCGCGGTCACTTTTTGTTCAGTTCATGCTGCTGCTCCAGGTCTGTCACATCTTTTAGCGCGGCCTTCAGCTAGGCGAGCAGCTCGTGTTTTGTACATTGACTAGCTTTGGCAGGGGCTTTAGATGGGAGTCAGGACCTCCATGGCTGATCGTCTGCTCCGACTCGTGACTTCGATGTACGCTGAATCTAGCCAGGTCATGCAACAGAGGCGCCGCCGTGCCGCGCATACACACGACGAAGGACCGCTTAGTTGTGCTGCTCGACCGACGAGCAGCCCTCTACCTATCGCGGCTTCCTACCATCACAAGCATACCCTTTCGGCTGTCATTGTGGAGCGCAGAACGCGGCAAGACGGTGGACGAAGATGTGCTCGTCGCGTACGCCCTCTTTCGAGGCAATTTTCAAGGCTGCTGAAATGGGACCAAAACCAGCACACGGCAGCGTGGGCCCTGAAGCTTTCTGTTTCGGTGCCAGTCGACGACCAGTGAGACTGCGTCCAGCAGATTCCCAAAGCAGAACCACCTCCAACAATTCGCGAAGCCTACATCACAGACCCATGACATCGCCCTTCACTACGCCTTCCAGATCCTTTCATTACCAGGTGAGCCAGCCATGCTTATGCCCATCCCGACGAGCTCTCGCTGACTTAGCATGCATGACAGGATGCCTTGCTTCCTGGTGAAGAGCTACTTGTGAACCAGTCTGGCTCAATTCCATCTGCATCCTTGGCGAGCCTGGAGGCGCATACAGCCCCACCGCTTCAGCTCAGAAACCAAGACCTCCAGTCGAAGAATGTCGCCCGCGATCCACACGGTTTCACGTACTCGTCCTCGGAATTCTCGCAAGATGAAACGGACCAGCAACACTCTCTCGTATTTTCGAATGATTCGCTAACACAGAGCGCGACAAGCAGCTACTCCGCTCGAACACATCAAACCTCTGCAGTGATGGTCAATACTCGTGACAGGAGCAGCTCCAATCTTTCGGGCTTTCTCGGCGCGTACCGTTCAATGTCCCGTGCTCAATCACAGAGAATGCCCGAAACTGCACCGTACGAGTCACACAGTGCATTGGAACCTGGCGGCTTCCAAGGAATTGTCGCCGATGGGTCTTTGAAGCGTCGCTCCAGCGCGCCCGGACCATCAGTCAATCCACTCGAGCTCTGCTCCGGCGAAGACGAGCTGTGCGATCAGGTGAGTGGAGCAATGATCAAGGGCATTTCGGTATACTGACAACTTGCAAGACGTTCGGTCTTGACGTCAAGCCGGGTCCGATATTTGGTCTAGACGCTTCACTTGATTCATCGTGCTTTTCAAGTCCTTCGACGCCGTGGGTCCCCGCAGACGCCAATGCCGGCTCGAAGAGCTCCATCAGCTTTGCGGATCGCGTGGCCTTTGCGACACCAAAGGGCAGCGAGGATGGACTGCTGTGCGAGATTGATTCGTCCATCGACTCGTCCATCGGCTCTCGATCCCCCTCCCCAACTCCAAGTGGAGCACATCGGAATGCCACTAGTTTGACACCTGGCAAATCCATGTTTCCGCTACGAAGCGCGGCGAACAAAGGCGAAGACATCTCCAGAGACGGAGCAACAGCTTTCCACGTTGCACCTGATGTCGAGTTTAGTGGGTCAATCGCAGCGCTGAGCGATCGCAGCTGCCTATTCACGCTTGCCTTGGATCTCTTCTCGCATAGACGATGTCTGCAGAACCGGGCACAAGAACTCAATCGCTGGTGATCGCGAGATGGACATCGCTACTGTGCTACTGGCTATGTCTGAACAAAGTACGGGTCGTGTCACACGCAGGATGACACAGAACGCGCGACGTATTCTCGATGACATTCAATTACCCGAAGGCGTATTGCATTGCCTTGAAAGCAAGCAAGGTGACGGTACAGCGCCTACAGAAAGCACGGAAAAGCAGAGGGATCCGCATTCGGTCAAGAGGAGAAAGATAGAGAAAACGAGAAGAATCTCGCGGGTCTCCGCTAGGATGTTCAACGCAAATATAGAAGCGATGCAAGGCCCACCGAGGACTCTGGAGCCCTCGCGAACAGAGCGTGTACCTCAAACCGATGCTACATCCAAGGAAGCGCTCTGCTCTTTGACCGGGCAAGCGGCAGGCGGACGAATCGAGATGCGCATCTTCCCGACCAACTTATCGATCCACGACGGCTTCGTCGGGTGGTATAGGCGCTTTCCGATATCTTCGGCTTTATCTCCAGCGGTAGCTGAGACGGTCTACGCCGAGGCACGGTGAGTGCAAGTCGAATCGCATTCCATACAGCTGATCCTTGGACCTGGGCCACCAATCACCCGTAGATCTCCGGGGAGCGAGATGTATGATGCTGCCAAGCGCGGTTGCAAGACCTTCGGATCGCAGCATACGGAGCCCAGTCCGCTGGACCTGTACTCGCCGCGCTGGGTTCGAGGCGTTGGCGCTACAAAGGAAGGTGCGCTCCTGACGATCATGGGATCATCTGGCCGTGTCCGAGCCTCACCCGTTCTGCTTATGCTCACACTGTTGTGTTTGCCAAGGTCTATGTCCAATATGGTGCGCTCAGGCTGAAGTAGTTTGTCGATGATGTGCCTCATGGTATCCAAGTCGCTACATGCAGCTACGAAGTGGGCGAGGTTCGCTGGTACAAGACCAAGATCAGCGGTGAGCATGCATACTTTGGCAGCGCAGCTGTTCAGACTGACAGAAAGGAGGATCCAGCCTACAACTACCATATGCAGAACGTGAGTCAGCAAGCACGCTGCATTATACAACACTTTGGGCTCTGACCTCGCAGAGTGCCTTTATCGTTGCAGAGCCACGGTAGGTCCTCGAGCCGGCTATTGTGCCACGGGATTGCTAGAGGACTAACATGTCCTGGCGCCACGACACAGGCATCTCGGCACTGACAGGAGAGCCATTTGATCCACCCATTGGGTTCAAGGTCAAAAGTAGACCACACGCGTCTGCTTTAGAAAAGCCTAAGGTGCTGGCAGGCCAGTGTGAGTACTGAAGTACATGTCAAGTCTTTGCGACTTGTCCGAAGTCATCTCTAACTCTGATCGTCTTGCAGGTCATGTATGCCGGCGCTGTGAGCTTTGGAGACGTTGCAGTATGTGAGCTGCAGCTTTGCTGACATCGTCAGCGCGCCAGTCATCGATGTCGAGGGGCCAAAATTGGAGGCCGTCAAAGTACCTGAGTGAGTCGTCACCAGAGACTGGAATAGAAACAGAGTCGCTGCCGACCACTTAGCATCGCCTTGTGCCTAGGATTTACTGGTGGAAACACGCGCAGAAGTGAGGGAGCTGCTTTACGCCTTCAACTAGGGGCGAGAACTGAGCTGCGCCCCCTCCAGGTGCCACAAGGACAAGGCTCGACTCGAAGGTGTGAGCGGAACTTTCATCGAGAACGCGGTCAGTAAGGATAGCCGATGGCACGCGGGAAGCATCGATGTTGATGCTCACTGAAAAGCGTTACCTAGCTCTACCGTCGCATCATGCAATACCTGGCAGAGCACCCAGAGTCTGAGGAGCAAGGCAGCTGCTAGATTGGGAATCAGCGGAAAGGCATGTGTGAAGAGGCAAGAAGAGGTCGCATGTGGGCGACTTCAGCAGTAGTGATCGTCTTGTACGCGCAGACGGCAATAGAACCGCCCAACAGCAACCAGCTGAGCATCCCACAGCCGGTCATCCGGTAGCGCAACGTTTCCACCGTGTCGTCATCGCTATGAATGCCTCTCTCAGTGTTTGCGACACCTTGCACATGTTCGCGCGCAGTTTTCGATCATTCCCATAGTCATCACAATGAGATGACTTTTGAGAGAGACGACGCGTCACTGGTGACATTGAGGAGAAGCAACTTGCGCTTTTCATCTGCATTGGGCAAATCTAGAGATGCGCCCTTGATGGCTAATACTTCCATTCGCCGATCATACGATCGAATAAAGCCATGATAGTCCACTACGAGATGGTCAAGTGGTCAGCACAGAACTTGCTGGAGGCGGTACAGACGATCGTGCTGCATGACGTCACCTCGCGACACTTACCTTTCGGTTTTCGGCTTCCTCGAAGACGATGCTACGAGGTCCATAGAAGACTTCATCATCCACCTCGTCGGGCTTCCGGGGCAGGCAGTGCATGAATCGAGCAGACTTTTTGGCGCCTGCTTTTTGAAGGAGGGACTCGGTAATTTGGAAGCCCGAGAAATCTTTCAGACGTTGAGTCTTCTGAGATTCGTCACCCATGGATACCCTATAAGAGCAGACGTAGCCGGAGATGCGCTGCGCTGTCAGTGACTTGGGAGCACGCCAGAACACCGTGCTGACGATTCAGACAGGACAAAAGTTCGGCAACTCACCAGGTGTCGGTGACAACGATGTCCGCATTGTTCGCAGCAGCCAGCGGATCGTTGCCCCACTCGACCTTTCCCTTTTCGTAGCTCGTCTCTTCTTTCAAGCCGTCCTGCATATCCTGCCACACGATCTCGTCCTTCTTGTACTGATCGCCTTGCGGCGTTGCGACGCTGAGATGGATTCCTAGTCTAGGAAAGGCGACGAGCATGTCGGCGAGGATGTTGTTGCTGTCGCCGATCCAAGCCACTTTGATCCCTCTGAGCGTATCCAGTGATGCCGAACTAGTGCCACCGATGACCGGATCCTCCAGCATGGTCAAGAGGTCAGCCAAGATTTGCGTAGGATGATATCGGGCAGAGAGGGCATTGATGACGGGGACTCTCGAGTGCTTGGCCAAAAGCTCCACCTCCTCGTGTCCTCCTACCCGGGCCATGATGCCATCGCACATGGAGCTGACCACTTTTGAAGTGTCGAACAAGCTCTCGTTCACTCCTAATTGGATATCTGCAGAGCTGAGAAACAGAGGATGACCACCCAATGAAGCGATGCTGGTCTCGCTAGCCACTCGAGTTCGAGTACTTCGCTTGGAGAAGATGACGGCGACATTCTTGCCTTGAAGTGATTGGGGTAAGATGCGACCTCCTTGATACTTGCCCGCGGCAGGAGACGAAGAGAATGCCAAGTCGGAAGCTCGAGATATGGACTTGAGCTCGGCTGATCTTTCGAGGATGGACGAGATCTGAGGCACGCTCAGATCCGCTAAGGAGAGCAGGTGCGGTGGTTTGCGAAGCTCGGATTGTGCACCTGTCGTGCTCGAGAAGGAGCGCTTAGCGGCAAGGGCCAGGTGGGAGAAGACTTTGCCGCTGTGCTGTTGCTGCATGACTCTAGTCAGCTGCTTCGAGCTGGCACCGCTGCCACGCACCAACGCCGAAGCTGAGGCAGGCTGCAAGAGCATGGCAGGCGTCTGGTGGTTGTATGAGCTTAGCACAGGAGCGATCGAGACAGTTGTGTTCTTGTTCAGGACAGCTGATTTCCAGAAAGAGGACGATGGCTGTTGAAGTGTCGAGGAGGGCTGTTTGATACACTGCGAAATCAAGTCTGCTGCTGCTGCTGCACCCACAACCACGAACACGAATCGAGGTGAGAAGTGACTCGATAAGCAGCACCTGCTGCATGTGTTGCTCGCTTTCTTCGCACTCGAAACGGCGCTTTTTGTGACTCTACGGCAGCCGCTGCTGCTCATCCGGCTCGCTATCTCTCCACACAGCGGCTGCTCGCCGGCTTCTCGTGCGGCAAAGTCGCGCGCAGCCACAAACATTCACATTGGCGCGCGCGGCGCGCGCACATCTACTGTACGTCGCAACCAACCGCGCCCGCCGCGTCGCGCCGCGGAACGAGAAATCTGAGCGTCATGTTCGAATTGAATTGTGTTCGCGCACATTCCACTCATTCGTTCACTCCTACCCTCGTTCACTCCGACCCATCCATCCATTCCGCCTACGCTCGACCCGACCAGCTGTACCATCATTATTGCTTCCGGTAGACGCTTGATCGCTCAAGCTCGATCGAGCGACACATTTATACTACTCAGATTGGATCACCGAAAGGCTATTCGCAGTTTCGGATGCTGCATTAATCGTTCCTCATCTTCATTCGAGCTGCATCGTGGATGCCAAGCTCTCGATTGGCGATCACGTCTGATTCCTCTTATTGCTCGGTGGGAGCGCAGAGGTGGCGCGGATCGCTTCCGGTCAAATCACAGTGATCACTGTCACATCCTGCCGACTTAGGCCAGCATGACGGTGTCTCATCGCAAGAACAAGCCTGCGGCGGTGCAGACCTCTCAGACCTCAGGTGAGCGGATGGGAGACAATTGCTGAGAATCTACATCCGCGAGTCCGCATACATCCCTTTTCCCAGCGCTGACTCTTCTTGGCCCGCATCTTCCACAACGTGCTCAGCGGACGAGCCGGGCATGAGGTATCACTGCGATGCTTGCGGTGCGGACATTACCTTGACCATCCGGGTCAGGTGTGCAGAATGCGAGGACTTCGATCTATGCGGGAGCTGTTTCTGCGAGGGATCCGTCAGTCAAACGGAAAAGGGCTCAGGTAGCTCTGAAGGCGGTCACAAGCCTTGGCACGATTACCGAGTCGTCGTGAGTGAACAGCGATGAGTGGTCTCATTCATCTACCTCTTGGCTGAACCCCTACCCCTCCTATCCGCCCGCAGGAACAACATGCTTTTCCCATCTTCACTGCTGACTGGGGCGCGGATGAAGAGCTGCTGCTGATTGATGGAGCCCAGATTTACGGGTTAGGCAACTGGGCGGATATCGCCGATCACATCGGCAATCGCACAAAGGAGGAAGTGGAGAAGCACTACGTGGAAGTGTACGTCGAGGGTAGAGATGGCACTGCAGAAGGACAACGACGAGCAGAGGCCGTCATCGACGACGCCCGCACGAAAGCTGAAGCAGACGAAGATTCGGGCGGAAGGGTCAGACCTCCAGTTGTGGGGCCAAACATGGCCTTCGATGCGCATATGACCGCGGATGAGTTCCAGAGTAGCAAAAGAACACGCATTGAGGAGATGCGCGAAAGCCAGGTGAGCTGCCGACGCACGCGAGACGAGTGCGAGGCGACTCGTCACCATGTCCACCGCGTTGTGCTGATTCTTGCTACTAAAACGTACACCTTCCCTCCCTTAGGCTCGAGCTAATCGTGAAGCTAAGGGCGGGCCGCCTCCAAAGCCTCTAGTGTCTGCGCCCACTTCCCATTCTGAGCTTGCCGGCTTCATGCCAGGTCGACTTGAATTTGAGACAGAGCTGGAACAAGACGCCGAGAACCTGACAAAGGACATGGAGTTTGGTCGCGTCTATCGATTCGGTGGAGACTTGCCTTCAGAGATGGAAGCGCTTGGAACGGTGGCCACCGCTGGTCGTCGTCGCGAAGGGCCTAGCTCCGGACGAATGGGAGCCATGGGCGCGAAAAGCAGCAAGAGGACCGGCGCAGCCGCTAAGAAAGGAACTGCGGACGCACAGCCCGACAAGGACGAAGACGGCGCAGACGGCGAGAACGACGCAGATGAGGACGATGCAAAGGATGCAGATGAGCACAAAGATGAAGATGAGCACGCCAGCGACAAGGATCCAGATGAACCTGAGGCCGAACCAGAGTCGGAGCCTGAGCCAGATCTGGACGCCATGAACGATGACGACCACAGTAGCGATGCGGCTACGCCGGCACCCGCCTCCGCCGTCGCCGGCACTTCTGCAGCTAGAGAAGCCGCCGATGTGGCCCGCGCCGAGTCAAGCAGCGTCAACGGTACCCCAGCTCCTGCCGACGTCAGCGCGACTGTGTCCGTGGAGGTGAATAGCGCTGCAGCAGGGACCTCTACGGCCGCTTCGAACGACGACCAAGACAACAAGATGCCAGACTGGGACGAGCACGATGGGGATCTCGACCTCAAGCTTCTCATGCTCGAGATTTACAATGATAAACTGGACCGCCGTGCCCGTCGCAAGCTCTTCCTGTTCGAGCGCAATCTGGTCGATTACCGCAGAGTGAGTCCTTTCTGCTCGGGAAACGTGGGCTGCCCGTTGCTGATGCATCCAGGAACTTCCTGCTTCCTCTTCATCTCTGCGCAGACCAAAGCCGCAGAAATGGCCTGTCCTCTTGAAGAACGCCAATTGCTTTCACGCATTCGACACTTTGCCCAGCTGCAGACAGCTATGGATTTCGAAAGCTTCCTGAACGGTCTGCTGTATGAAGAGGAGCTACGTAAGACGGCTGCTCAGCTGCAGACATATCGCCGAGCGGGCATCACATCTTTTGCGCAAGCAGACAAGTACGAAAAAGATGTGGCGGAGCGCAACAGGAAAGCTGCGGTTGCAGCTGCCGAGGGAGGCTTGGCTGCTTTCCCTGCCAGTGGAGCTGCTGGAACTCCGAGGAGAAACGACAGCAGTAGCAGCTTGGCTGCAATGTCCGCGCCCGCCGCTTCTTCCAAAAGGGCCAGAGAAGGCAAAGCGGGTAGTCTCGAACCTTCGGCAAAGCGCGTCGCCGATAACAACAAGACGCCCCGCGCCCCTCGTGAGTGGATCGAGCCCAGAGAGCACACAACGTTCACAACTTGAGAATGAGAGTGAGAGTGAGAACTGACGATTTCGTGTCTCGCCTAGCCAAACCTCTCGATCTGTCTTCTGCGCCGTCTCTGCACTTGCTGACCCAAAAAGAAGCAGCGTTATGCTCGGCCGTACGCATCTTGCCTGGCCCCTACTTGATCATGAAGAAGGAGATTCTGACGGAATACATGCGACGAGGCAAGACTTTCTCGAGAAGGGACAGCAGATGTCTCTTCAAGATGGACGTGAATAAGGTGAGCGACCGTCGCGGAGGTCGGGTCTAGGCAATGTCATCATTACTGATGACCATTCTTTAATCGTTGTGCCCCTTTTCCAAAGGTCGGCAAAGTCTATGATCTACTAGTTGAAGAGGGATACCTCGAGCAGCACGAAGCCACGCTGGCCTCTATGGCAGGCTTGGATATCCCGAGTGAAGCTGCGAGTCAGATTAAGCTTGTCTCTACCCATCGGCAGTCGAGCCAACCAAACGGCATGGCCAGCTCCTCATAGCTATCCAAGATCGATCGCGGCTATGTCGAGCCACTTTCTGACAGGTGGCCTTGAGGAATGCCCTCGGCACTTGTTGTACTTCTCTTCCAAATTTTTCACAATGCACGAGAGCTTTGAGCTCTTCCTCGGCCTGTACAATCTCAGACGCATCCAGCCCGTCACGCTTCGGACAGCACGGACCACAGCACGCAATCTCTCCACCATATTGCCCACGACCGCCAAGCACCAAGTTATTGGGAGGAAACCTCCGCACTTGTCTCAAACATCCAAAGACTACTTCATACCTGACTCCTCGACTCGCTTCTCACCCGCATTTTGACACGCATCACAATCATGTACGCATTCCACATTCCACTCTTCGCTCCATAAGTATCAAGGTCACGTCCTGAGCGCCTCACTCAATTCATCTCGTCCTACGCGCCATGCGGATCGCTTCGGAGGTCTTTTCTTCTGTGAGACTGGCGACTGTTGCCTCTCTGCGACTTTGATGTGGCGGGAACTGGCCGTGCGGAGTGATTTTGCGGCGTTGCGGAGAGCAATCGATGGCGAAGAGGAGGACTGAGCATGCAGGAACGCACAGCCAGCCAGCCAGCCAGCCAGCCAGCCACACGCGCGACCGACGCGCCTAATGCGCGAGCGAGCCACGAGCGACATGCAACGTCGCGTTGATGCAAGATAGGTACACGAATTGAGTACCGGTACGGTACAGCACGCACGCAGTTACGCGGGAGGGCCAGCGCAACTTCGTCTTGTTCATCGATCACCATCGATTGCGATGCCCCTCTCGACCACCACAGCCGTACATCACACAGAACAGCGTGTTTTTTTGCCTGCTCCATTCCGCAGACATGTCCACCTCAGCTGATGCCGAAAGGCTCAAGGTTCAACTATCCACGCTCCTTTCTCAAGCGCACGAACGAAGCATAGCTCTGCGATTAGCGCCCTCTGCGCCTTCTTTGACCAGACCCATCAAAAAGTCTTTACCTGTCGTGCTGAAGGGACTGGATGAGCTTAGAGGGCATGAGGAGGAGGAGGAGGAGGAGCTGAGGAAGAGTTGGGAGAAGATCAGGAATGTGTTGATGGAGGATGAGGAAGGCAGAGATTTGGTGGAAGAGGCGCAAAGACCGTGAGTTGAAGCGGCGACTGGTGTGCGGGAGATGTGGTGAGCCAAGTTGGAGCGTTGGAATGCCTTCGATGAAAGTCCATTTGTAAGGCCCAGTGAGTTGAACTGATTCGACCGTCTCTCTTCTCGATGCGAAAGATACGCTTCGAGGAGTCAGCCGCTGCTGGGTGCTTCCAGCTCCAGCGCTGCCGAGACGAGCAATGCAACAGCGGCATACACCTCCAACACGAAAGCCTTTTCGGACGAGCCCTACAGGGACGATCCTCGCGCCTCATCCGGCCCCGCACCGGACTCCCGAGACAGTTCAGCGCTGTACACTGCCCAACAAGCACAGATGCAAGCTCAAGATGGACAATTGGACGCGCTCGCCCTCTCCATTGCTAGACAGAGAGAGATGGGCTTGAGAATGGGAGACGAGTTGGAGCTGCATGGACAACTCTTGAATGAGCTGGATGGAGCTACGGACGGAACGCAGGAGAGGCTGGATAGAGCTCGTGGAAGGATGGGAAGATTGGAGAAGAGCTTCAAAGAACATGGTCAGTACCCCCTTTTCTGACCTTTCTGACCTTGCCCCGATATTGTCAATCGTATGCATCGGCTCACTGACTGGGCACCTGATGATTCACTGCTCGTCCCTCAGCTTCTTCGTACACCATCGTGTTCCTCATCATTGCTCTGGTCATCTTTATCCTCTTCGTCAAGTGAAGCTCAGCGCAGCTCGACTCAGCATCTCATTCTCCGATCGGAACTTGTAGTCTGCTCTTGCACCCGGCCCGCCTGTAACATACCTCTCACCTCGAGCGCGCTAGTTTCTCCACAGCGCTGCGCTCACCTGAACTGAACACAGCCATGCAATCTTACCCGCGCACACCCTTCTACTCGCGACAGATTCGGGCAACGATGATCCGCAACTATACTATTAGGGGGATTGAATGCTGCCGAGTAGTACAGTAGGGTGACAAAAGAAGGTCGGGGTGAGGGTTTGGTGGTGAGAGGCCTCGAGGCAAAATGACCAACCTGTGATCTTGTGCGTGAGGCCCCCCCAAGGGAAAGGTCAAGAGAGGAGAGGAGATTTTGTTTTGAGAACGCTGCACTCTTGCTCGTGCTCTCCTTCATCCTTTCCTTCGTTTCAATATTGGTCGCTCCATCTAATGTTGCTTATCAGCATTCATCTTATTCAGAGCTCCCGTCCATTCGCGCATCTGCTGTTGAGCAAATGTGGAAGCTGCGTTTGCGAGGGGCTTCCAGTCGTGTTGCACGCGAGCGACCAAGTGGTGCTCATCTCCGCCTCTTCTGGCTTTGTTGGAGGAACCGACGCTAAAGAGCTGCTTGGTAGCCCACTTGAAACCAGCCTGCGCGAGCGCTCTGGACTTGTCTGCAGAGGGCAAGCCACGTCTGGACTTGGCACCGGCAGCTTGTTGGGCAGCAGATGCATCCTTACCATCCTTGTTGAGCGCATCATCGATCATGTCGGAGAAAGCCGACCACACAGGCGCGAAATCGCTGCCCGCATCTCGTCTTTGCTTCCCTGCTGCTCCCGCTGCATGCTTCCACTCTTCGTCTCCAATCTTTTTGAGCTCGGACCAAACTGGTTGGAGATCCGCTCGGCGAGTGAGCATGTTGCCCGCTAGCTCGGCCACCTCTTCGACGCTTCGCGCTTGCATGTTCTGGACGCCGTGCATGAAGCCATCCGCCTCGAGAAAGTCTCGAGCGGAGAGTAGCGAAGTCAAGAGCGAAGCGGTGCTGCTGCTGCTGGTGTCCGATGAAGAAGCGTCCTCACTCGCTGCTCCCTTGCTCGAGCTGGAGTTAGCGGATGTCTTGTTCTTGGATGAGGACGGAGCCGCATCGGAGTCGTCGGTGCTGGTTGCTGCGCTCTTTGAAGCGCCGGCAGTCGCAGCGCTGGCGCCATCTTGATTTGTGAGGGCGCTGATGAGGGACTCGACGATGGGCATGACAGTGTCGAGCAAGTCGCCGATGGTGTCTCGCTCGCCCAGATCACGTCGACCGTAGCCTGGGCATCCAGGTCGGTATTGACCGTCATTTGGCGTGCCGGGGGGTGGGCAGTCTTTGCCCGTAACCGCGGCGCTCTGAGCCGAAGCTGACGAGGATGGGTCCTCGCTACGGGTAGACATGGGCAACAAGGTGTTGAGGAGAGCATCGAGCAGCATCCTGAGCACTGTCAATAGACCAGTGACACCGGACTGACGAGGAGCCAAGTCCATCGCGGCCCTTCGGTCGAGTTGGGTGTTGGTCTGACGGGCAAGCGTTGCGCGTGCAGCGCTGGGACCGTCATCAGAGCCAGTAGCGCTCTGGGCGCTGCTGTCAGTCGAGGTCGAGTTGCCCGTCGCGGCGGCAGCTTGAGCGCTACCAGTGGCGCTGGGCGAGGCGCTGGGATCAGCACTGCTCGAGGAAGCAGCCTGCTTGCCCTTGCCACTCTTCTCGGAATCCTTCTGCTTCTTCTCCGCAGTCGCAGACGCAGAGGAAGACGAAGCAGTGCCGGTAGCGGTGGCAGAAGTCATCTGGTCCTCAGGGACCAACGAGGCCGAGGCAGGCTTGTCGTCGTCATCAACGACAGAAGTTGAGTTGGAGGAAGAAGCTTTGGAGGCAACCTTGGTCGCCTTGCTCTTCTTTGCACCTGCACTGCTGGTAGGGGCGGCATCGTCGTCCGAGTTGCATTGATCGGTGCCATTGCCAAGAAGCTGCTGCAAGAGGCAGAGGATCTCTTGGACCACCGAGCCAACGTTGCCTGCTTGACGCTTGCTTGGAGGCTGCGATACGCGCTGGCCAAGCAGAGTGTCAACCAGCTCCTTCAAAGAGGATATTAGTTCTAACGGCAAGGGAGGAGCGGTCAATCTCAGCTTCAGCGGCGGACGTATCGCCTTAGCAGCTGGTCACGGCACTCACGGTCCAAAATACCACGACGCTCCAGGTCGCGAACGACGAGTCGAGTACGCTCATCGCTCTGCGGCATGTGAGCATAGCGGGCCACTACGACGGAGGCCTGTTGCATCACATCGGTCTGACGAGTGTTGAGCTGCTTGAGGGCTTTGTGAACCGCCTCGGGGACCTGGTCTCTGGCAGCGAGGTGCTGAATGATGTGATCCTGAGCAGCAGGGAATGCTCGAGCTGCCAGGACAGCTTGAGGATTCTGATGACCGTTCGCTGTAGAGCGAAGGGGTACTGCGGTTGCGGTGTTGGCAAGACCGAGGGATAGAAGAGTGAGGACGGCCGGAGAGAAATGCATGGTGAGCGATGGGGTGGATTGGTAGAGGAGCGGTGGACTCTCGCGGGCTTGTATGCTTTGGCCGTACGACGGGCGCGAAACAGCGATGGAGTGGACGAAGAACGCTATGAAAAGACACGTGTGTGACCTCCAGGGTTCACAGTGAGTGCGAGTGATGAAGATTGATGAAAGAAAGAAGGTACGAAGGCAGAGAAACAGGGGGGGAAAGCAAGAATTTGTGCGAGGCAGGCCTGGGGAAGGAAGAGGAGCGGGACACTGAGCTCGGTCGCGATACTTATACCGCACCTCTACGAGTCAGTGCAGTCCTCTCATGGCTCGTCTGAAAGCAGCCGCGTACCTTTTTTCGGTGATGAAGAGATGTTGTATGTACTTCAGCTCGCCGAAGCGGGCAATTGTTGATGTCAGGATGGATGCTCTCGGTCGTCAACATTCCTGTCGATGCTCGTGTCCGGCGCAATACCGAGTCGTCCCTTTGACAACGCTGTCAGACCGCTGCGATGTCGACTGTGCAATGCAGCAGGAGACGCAGAGCCGAAGCCAAAGTGGGCTGCCCAGCGTTGTGCTGCAGCAGCGGGGGCCCAACAAGATCGACGCAAGAGCCCGAGCTGCCGAGAGCCAGCTGGATCTGCTTGCAGGCAAGGCAGGCCAATCGATGAGCGTGGCGAGTAGAATCTGAGCGTAAAGGTGTCATTCTGTCCGAGCTTGGCATATGTCATCGTTCACAGCTCAGTCCTTGTTCAAGGTGCGCTTGGTAGAGTGGAACATGCTCAAACCGTCACCTTTTCGGGTGAAGCCTTTCCCGCTTCGGTGTCGTCGAGAGCTGTGCATACGTGCCCCAAAGCGACCGAAAGCATCCCAAGCGATCGGCACGGCGAGCCTTGAAGGGCGTGCGACGCCGTGCGCGGTGCATCATCCATCCATCCCCTTTTGCGTCACACGTATGATGAACTTCTAGTTGCTTTGCCGAGATCTTGCACAGCCTAATGTCAGTGGTCAGCAGAGAGCAGAGTGAAGACGGCAGGTATGCGCTTGCCGAGCGAGTGGTGAGCGTGAGCATTGCATAGATGGTCGCATGAGTCGATTCACCATGAGACAGACAGACACCCTTGATCGCCTGCCTGCCTGCCTGCTCGTTGGATTCGAAGGAACGACTTGCGCGACGCGTCAATTCACGATGCATGATATACTGTATGATTCGCTTACGATTGATTGTATGCGCGGCAGAGGCGCCGCGCGCGTCTCGGCATTTCACGATTCGCCTTAGCGTATTTGATTCTTGATGGGCGAGGACTTTGACTAGCGCAGTTGATGCAGCCCTATCCAACGGCTTCGCTTGGCTCGATGCAGCAGGACAGAAGTCACGAGCAGCAAGAGCAAGAAAAAAGGCTGCTTCTTGTCACCTTGTATACCTTCAATGGCATCATCCCGTCTCGATCGAGAGTAGTAGATGGCCAAGGGCGAAGGAAGCGATCTAATCTGCTCTGCTTATTCCGTGTTGAGCTAGCGTGCGATTCTCGTGCCCCTTTAGTCCATCCAATACGTGCTGCTGCGCTTGCCCGCTCCACCTTGGCGGTATGGCAAACAAAAGATTCATGGCCGAGTGTCACCGGCGCCGATGCAATGGTCGAGCGCTAGCATCACTCGAACTGCACTGGTCCATCATGTCATTTCTCTCGGTTGGTACAAGCGGGTCGACCTCGTATGCGGTTTTCCTCAATACGCAGCCTTGGCAGAGGTCGCGTTCATACTGTCGTCGATTACTTGCAGCCTCCTCTAACGATCTATGCGCTCATTCCTTGCACCCACGCACCTACCCGCCTTCGCCCTGCTTTAAGCAGCAAACCAAGGCAAAATGTACCTGATGCGAGGTTTGACGCTTTCCGGGATAGCTTCCGATCTCGTCATGATGCTGTCCCTCATCGTTCCTTCGTGCTTCTTGACCAATTCGCTCTCGTCGTCCTTTACGAGCGCGTGAACTGGATCCACGAGCGCAGCTGTGACCTTTTGAGAAGCTTGTACGTTGGCTACCAGACAGGCGATCACTTCTGCTACTCCCACCGACTCTTCGGACGGACGCCAGGCGTCGTAGTCCGTAGCTAAAAAGGGTGAAGTGGCAGCGAAGCTGCGTCAGAGCAGACCAGATCTTGGTGATCGGAGCAAGACGCGAGAGATGCTCACCTGTAGCGATCAGCGCATACGCAAGCTCTGCCTCTCTGGCAAGCTTGGCTTCGGGCAGAGCGCTCATGTTGATAATGTCCCCTGCAAAAACGTTGGCAAATTGATTCGTTCAGCTTGGCGAATTGTATGTGCTCATCCGCATGATCTAGCCTTGCTTGATCCCTCTTCTCTCTCACCTCCCCATGCTCGGTACATCAAAGATTCAGCTCGGGTGCTGAATTGAGGTCCTTCCATGCAGACCGCAGTCTTGTTTCCGTGCACCTTGACATTGGGTGCGACTTTTGCCAGAGTTTCGCGGGCGCTGCATACAATAGTGTAGGACTGCATCAAAATCGGCCAAGTGCGACCATCTCGCACCTGTTGCATGCCCGCAGGACTCACATTTTCTCGACGAGCGGTCTGAGCGTCTCGCAGAAGGGATCGCCGAACATGGCATGAGCCACGACTCCCTTATCCTCTCCTTCACCAAAGAAGCTTCCTCTCCTGATCCCCTTGGTCCTATCGATGATCTGGCTAGGTACCACAAAGTCCTTTGGAGCGATTTCTTCCCTGAGACTTCCTACAGCTGAGAAGGCCAAGATGGCCTTAACGCCGATAGACTTGAGACTGGCAATATTGGCAGGGACGGGAACTGTGGATGGCGTAAAGCTGTGAGTGAGACCATGACGCGCGAGGAAAGCGACGTGAGTGCCGCTCGCATTCTTTGAAATTGTGATGGGGGAGGAGGGAAAGCCCCATGGCTATAGACAAGCATGCAGACCATCTCGATCAGTCGCATGTCTGGCCGACTTCGAAGCTGATCTAGGGCGAATGGTCAACACTCACGGTCTGAGGGTTGACAGTCGCAACCAGCTGAAATCCATCCAGCTTGTAAATGCCGCTACCGCCAATGATGCCCACTCTAATGTTCCACTCCTTGAGCTGGGCAGGAGTGGGTGCTGCGACCTTGTTGGCAGCGTTGGCCGCTGCCTGACCTGAAGCTG